CCCACCCCCCCCCCCCCAAATGGATGTTCAAAGCTCAGACCAGTCGCCAACAAACCACAGCCTGGCTTCAGTTTTCATCTGTGACAAAGGCAACATATTGCCCTGCCTCAGGTAGCAATTGTGAGAATGAATGAGAAGGGCTTGCTAATTTGCCAAAACCTGGAAGAAAGGGCAAAGCCTCCATCCCAGTCAAAAAAAGCTTCCGGAACTCCCCAAAGAACCCAAGGATTCAGTGCCCCCGAATGAGGGTCTCTTCCAGTAGCTTTGGGAAGCAAGCCTGAAGGGGAAAGGTTAGTAGAGTTTCTGGAGAGGGGCTAGATGTACCAGAGCCTCTGTAGCATGTTTTCCATAAAAACATAAGAGAAGCCAGTGTTGGATCAGGCCAATGGCCCATCTAGTCCAACACTCTGTCACACAGTGGCCAAAAATACCAGGGGCCATCAGGAGGTCCATCAGTGGGGCCAGGACACGAGAAGCCCTCCCACTGTTGCCTCCCCCAAGCACCAAGAATACAGAGCATAGAATCATAGAGTTGGAAGGAGCCATACAGGCCATCTGGTCCAACCCCCTGCCCAATGCAGGACCAGCATAAAGCATCTCTGACAAATATTCGTCCAGCCTCTTCTTGAAAGCTGCCAGTGAAGGGGAGCTCACCACCTCCCCCTAGGCAGCCGATTCCACCTCTGAACCACTCTGACCGTGAAAAGGTTTTTCCTCATATCCAGCCGATACCTTTCTGCGTGTCATTTAAACCCGTTGCTTCAGGTCCTGTCTTCTGCTGCCAACTGCAACAGCTCCTTGCCCTCCTCCAAATGACAGCCTTCCAAATATTATTATTATTATTATTATAAACTATAATAAATCATTTATAATAATAAATTATGAATGATTTCAAACATCCCTTGCCCCAGACTGAGAGTTCCTATCTATACTTTGTGGCGAATAGCCACCGATGGACCTCTGCTCTATATGTTTATGCAGTTCCCTCTTGAAGCCATCCATGCTTGTAGCCGCCGCCACCTCCTGTGGCAGTGAATTCCACGTGTTAATCCCTCTCTGGGAGAAGAAGGACTTCCTTTTATCCGTTCTAACCCGACTGCTCAGGAATTTCATGGAGTGCCCACGAGTTCTCGTAGTGTGAGAAAGGGAGAAAAGTACCTCTTTCTCCACCTGCTCTATCCCATGCATAACCTTATAAACCTCGATCACGTCACCCCTCAGCTGTCGTTTCTCCAAGCTAAAAATCCCCAAGCGCCTTTAACCTTTCTTCGTAGGGAAGGTGTTTTACTTTTAAAACAAAATGCTGGACAATATTGGGCCGTGGCCTGTTTTCCTTTGTGCAAAAAACCCCTTAGAATTGGGTAATGCATACTTCAGGACGTGTGACGAGCCCTGCCGGATCAGACCAGGGGCCTGCGTGGACCATCCTCCTGTTTCCAGCAGTGCTGTCTTCCACCTGTGCCCCTTGGCTTGTACGCACCAGACAGATAGTGTCCACATCCAGCGGGAATACAAGTTGTCGCTTGAGTGGGTTTTTCATCCCGATGGTTAACTTCGACTTTCCCTCCCCAGTTCTTTGGTGGAAGAGTTTCGTAAGACGCTCTGTGCCCTGTGGCAGGGGAGTCAGACGGCGTTCAGCCCGGAGTCCTTGTTCTATGTCATTTGGAAAATCATGCCAAATTTTAGGTAAGTCCGGTGAGAAAAAGGGGAGAATGAACTTTGCAGCAACCCAGGTTGCTGCGTGTCTTTCTGGGGAAAGAAGGCATTTTGTTGACCATGAATGCCGCGTTCCACCCGCTCTGAGAGCCCCTCGGTCTTCAGGGGGTGCCACAAACAGTGGCTTTTGCCTGCTGCATGTCGGAGGACTTTGGTTTCCTCATCATCTGCAGAGCATTGTGAAGCCATTTTAGAGGTAGGCGTGTTGAGACATATAAAGTGCAGGAACCCCAAAGAGGCCACGGGGAACACACCCCTTTTCGGTAGCGAGCGCGCTTAATTAAGAATGCGCGGCTCCGACAGGCCCGAGCAAAGCATACCGGGCGAAACTTCCTTGATTCTCTAAATGTGAACTAGATGCTGAAAGCTTAATGGTAAATGACTTCTGCAGTGAGATGAAACCTGTGCGCCGTTGACGTCGTGCAGCCAGACTGTCGAAAAGAGCACAGTTCACGCCAGTAAATGCAAGTGTCATTCCTCTCCAAGGTCTCCCTGTCCCGGCCCCCGAACCTCTTTCAAAGGAGCACTGAGCCCCGTTAGGAATAATTGTGCCAAAGGTAAGTTTGCTCCACGTTCTCAGGTCGTAAAGCTGTTCTGTTGATGTGTTGAACGCCTCTAGCAGTGCTGAAAAGATGCTCTGAGCACAGCCCATGAAGCAAGACACCCAGGCTGATGCTGTGTCCCAGGCTCCTGGTTACGTTCTTTCCTGGCCGATGAGAATCAAGGAAGTTTAGCACCCGTCGTTTCAGAAGGCCCAATCCTGTTTCTCCTCTTATGTCTCTGGCCAGCTATTGTCCTCTGACCAGTCATTTGACGTCAAAAACGAATAGATCTGTCCCTAAGCTGCTCTGGCAGATTTTCAGCACTGTGGCTTCACTCGTTTGTTTTTTACAGAAAGGACCGCCGTCTGGGAATGCAAAGTGTCTCTCATTTTCTGTAGCAGGAACGCCAGCTTCTTGGTGCGGTGGGAAGTCAAAGGTCCCAGGTGCACCTCCCGGTATCTCCGGTTAAAGGCTCTTGAGGTGCAGGTTGGGGGAAGAAGCCCCGCCCACAGAGCTAGAGGCACCAACTGTCTGAATGGCCGTAAGGCAGCAGCGGCCCAGTGCTGCTTCATTCCAGGTGCCAGCGGTGTGGGAATGTGCTGGCAGCAGTGCTCCCTCTAAGCTGTGCGAGTCTCGTGAGCAAAAACTCTACGTTGTGATCTACTGGCATGAAAGTGGTAAGCGGGCGATCTGGCTGCTGCAGAAATCAGTTTGCTCTGGAGGGCTCCTCTCTGAGCCGAGACAAAAAGGTGTGAGGTAGCTCACACTCACTCAGCTTAGAGGGAACGCTGGCTGGCAGTTCTTCAGAGGGAAGCTTAATTCTGAGCACCGTCTGGTGGATCCAGCAGGGAAGAGGTTCCCAACGAGAGGTGCCACTCAGAGAGCAGCCAGCCGCGGGAGTCTTCTCTGTGAGAGGGAGGCAGGAGGCGGTCCGCCTCCTTCTCTTCTGTGTCTTGGAACGAGAGGATGGGGAAAGTCTGACTTGGGGAAGTGGAAAACTGTTTTTTAAAAACTGCCTGCCCTCCTCTGTTGTTTGCATCAGTGTGCCAGTGCAGATGTGGGTGGGCAGAGGCCCCTTTCAGGAGTAGCTCAGTGAGAGGCAAGCCTGCTCCCCGTTTGGCTAGAGATGAAGCGGCCTGATTAGGAAGACAGGCCTGCGCTTCGGGAGAGTCTCTCACAAAAGCTGGACTGGCTCTCCTAACCCGGAGAGGACCGTGCCACTGAGATGGCCGCCGTGTTTGTCGGCAGTGCCCCCTCTAAGCTGTGGAGTCTCGTGAGCAAAAATTCTACTTTGCGAGCGCCTGGCACTAAAGTTGAGAGGGAGCGAATTGGCTGCTGCATCACTTAGTTTGCTCCGGGGCTCCATCCTTCCTGAGATGAGACAAAAAGGGGTGAGCCAGAGGCTAAAAAACTGCAAGCTAGCTCATGCTCACGCAGCTCAGAGGGAACAGTGTTTGTCGGGCTGACTGTTTTGCCCCTTCCAAAACCTTGTTTGCTTTTGCTCACTTCTTTCTAGGAGAAGGCAAGTTTAGCTGCCACATCCTCACTCTTGGAAAGAGAGCTGGGGGTGTGTGTGTGGGGGGGGAGGCAGAGCACACAGAGCGCCGTGTCAGCAGCTCTTCTGGGTGTTGCAAGGTGAATAAGAGTGCAGTTGGCACGGTCGTCTCTCGCAAGCTTGAATCAGAGGGAACCGCCGTAGGTTCCTGTGGGGAATCGATTGGGCCAGCACGGGCACCCCCTTTTGAGTCGCTGTGTGTCTGCCCTAGGGCACCTGGCCTCGGCCATTCATGCGACTGGCCACATTTCCTCCGGCTCTGAAGTGGCGCCTGGGTCACGCTGGGGGTGGCCAGGGCCGTCTGCTGATCAGCTGCGTTTCTGTGCCACCCTTCCTCCACGGATGGCTGGGCTGTGTGCGCAGTTCTCTCCTCCCCCGTTTTGCCCTCACAAGCCATCCTGTGAGCCAAAATCCTGCTTTGTGAGCTCCTGGCGTTAAAGTGGTGAGCGAGCCATTTGGCTACTGCCTCCATCAGTTGGCTCTGGGGCCCTCCTTCCCGGGGGCAAGACAAACATGTGTGAGCTGGAGGCTAAAAAACCTGGGAGCTAGCTCACAGTCACTCGGCTGAGTGGGAACACTGCCTGTGAGGTCGGCCGGCCGGCCTGAGATTGTGCAGCTGGCCCAACACCCAGTGAGCCTCCTGGGTCTCTGGGGTCCCGCTCTGGCCACGGCATCATGCCGGCTGCCTGGAGGACTGCACCCTCCGCTCTGGAGCACCACGTCTGCTTGGTGGCTGTGCTGGCTGAGAGGTCCCGAGGGCTGAGCAGGCTTTAGCTCCCCTGCCTGGCTCACAAGTCCCTGCTCCTGGCTAGCTCACTCTCTGTGCAGTGGCTGCTTTGGGGGGGGGGGATGTTGTGTTGGAGGTGAGCTCAGGCGATAGGATCCACTCCGACGTAACAGTCCAGCGCCTGCCGTGACGTGGACGTGTGAACCAGCCCTGCGTTCGGTGGAGAGGAGCCAGTTTGTCTCTTTTAATCTTCTACAAAGTAAGGGGGTGTCAAAGCATCCCTTCCCCACCTTTTGCCAGTATTAAGTTAAAAAAATTCTGCTTCTGAGACATTAAAACAGGTGGGCATCCGTGCTGGTCTGAAGTGGTAGAACAAATCTGGAGTCCCGTGGGGGCACCTTCAAGACCAACCAAGGTTTATTCCAGCAGGCCTGAGCTTTCGTGGGCACGCACACTTTTGCCAATACACTGGAATGGGAGGTCAGGTTCAGCCCCCGTCTGTAAGGTTAGAACCTGGCCTCCCATTCCGATGTATTTGAAACAGTGTGCCTTGCACACGAAAGCTCAGACCTGCTGGAATAAAACGTGGTTGGTCTTAAAGGTGCTGTAGGTTGGGCTCTTTTTTTTTTGTAAAATAGAGTGTTAATACAGGATGCAAAACTGTATTTGGTAACTGTATTTGGGGAATGTTGTCAAATCTGGGAAGAGCGATGTGGTGAAGGGAGCCGCGTCCTGGCTGAGCCTCTCGCTCCCCTCCTCCATCCCGTGTTTGTAACAGCCGAGCCCTTGAGAGGGTTGCTTTGATTAGGAACGTGAAGGACGTAGCCTCTGGAGCGGGCCGGACCTCAGACTTGCTCTGTCAGCAGACAGATTGCGGGCATTCCAGCGGGGAGGCTGACGGCCCTCGGAGGCTTGAGTTTGCTCCCCCAGTCCGGCCTGTAGAAAAGCCAGACTGTGTCTGCAGACACGGCCCCGTGTAGTGGTGTGAAGTGCTGTGGCGGATGCCCCTTGCGTGGAAGTCAGCGCCCCTTTCCTTGTCACTCTCCTGGGGATCGCGCCCATTGCCACAGAGTGGAGTAGCCGGATCGACAGGGAAAGGGTCGGCTGCAGAAAGCCACCGGGGCTCTCGAACTTCAGAACAGGCAAAAGGGAATACTTCCTATGGAGCGTGGTTAAAATGTGGAATTTGCCACCAGAGGATGTTGCCACAGGAATAAACAGCTTGAAAAGGGGATTGGATAAGTCTGCCAGTGGCTACAAGCCATGGTGACTGAGAGGAACCTCCACATCCAGAGGCACTAAACCTCTGAATCCCAGTGTCAGGAGGCAACATCAGGGGAAGGGCTGGGACTCTATGCCTTGTTGTTGGCCCTTCGGAGGAACTGGTGGCCACTGTGTAAGAAAAGAATGCTGGACTAGGTGGTCCCTTCCTGGTCTGACCCAGCAGGGCTCTTCTGATGTTCTCCTCAGGGGAAGGCCTTGGCCTCTCTGCCCTGTTGCTGGCTCTCCAGAGGGACTGGTGGGCCACTGTGTGGGGACGGGATACTGGAGTAGTTGGACCCTCACTGGCAATGCTCCCTATAAGCTGTGGAGTCTTGTGAGCTACTGGCATTAAAGTTGCGAGTGAGTGATGTGGCTACTGCATAAATTAGTTGGCTCTGGAGCCACCCTTCCTGAGTGAAGACAAAAATGTGTGAGCCGGAGGCTAAAAAACTGTGAGCTAGCTCACACTAACTCAGATTAGAGGGAACACTGCTCACTGGACTGGTCTCTTTTGATGCCCTTATGAAGGCCTCGGCCTCTCTGCCCTGTTGTTTGGCCCGTGTGTGAGACAAGGATGCTGGACTAGGTGGACCCTCACTGGTCTGACCCAGTAGGGCTCTCCTGATGTTCTTGTGACTTGCAGGGGAGGGTGTGTCTTTAAGTGGCCACTGGACTCCTGCTTCATTGTGCTGCTGTAAATGAACCACATTTATCCCGGTGTGTGTGTGTGTGTGTGTCAGATCTGACTTCAGCACATGAAAAGAACTTTGCAGCCTGAGCCGTGTCTTGCAGATCTGTATGGGGCTTGGGGTGTGTGTCATTTTGGGCACACCACCCGTGTCCGCTTCTTCCTGTGGGCATTGCTCCAAATCCCCCGCCCCCGCCAAGGTGTGGGAGCTCAGTCCCAGCCGCCACTGAGGTGCTGAGGCAAACAAGCAGATGCACAAGGAGATGTGGCTGCTGCCGTTGCAGTGCCTGAGGGAGGGGGGTTGCAGGAGGGATCTGGGGGGTTGTGCACTGGGGCAAGCTTGGCTTTTAGCTTGTTAAAAGCACGTCTGTTCAGAGGCGAGCGAGGAGCAATAGATGCTCCAGCACTTCACGGCAGAGCTTGGGTGTGTGTGTGTGCATTAAATATAAGATGCCTTGAAATAAGACATCTGGGTTAAGTAAAGCAAGCCCATCTGCAGAGCACTTTGTAACTGCTAATTAAGTCCGTGTTTTACCCCACGTGGATCAGCGTACTTTGTTTTGCAACTGCCGGACTCTTTCCTCCCCCAGTGGGATGTGCTTTGAGTCACTGCAGGGAGGCTCCTTGGCTTTCTCCCGAGGGCCGGATGCAGGGCCAGCAATGATTTCCCCCCCCTCCCCCGGTCATCTGCTGATGCAGCCCCTCCCCACACCTTGAGAGCCCCAAGAGCTCTGGGCAGCCAGGAAGTGCTGTGTGCGAGGAATGTCACAGCAGGGAGTGGGGCTCCTACAGTTGCGTTTCTGCGCATTTGAGGGATCTGTTCCTATTCAGCCGATGTTCATGCCTGACATGTCATGCTGTGTGTTGCCGGCACCTGGTGTACTCATCCCTGTCTTCTATGTTAAGGGGGTACCAGCAGCAAGATGCCCACGAATTCATGCGTTACCTTTTGGACCACCTGCACTTGGAGCTTCAAGGCGGCTTCAACGGCATCTCCCGCTCCGTCATCTTGCAGGAGAATCCTAGTCTTTCTGCTGGCAGTAGGTGTTGCATGTAAGGAGACGCCGTTTGTTCTTTCCGGTCCCGGAACTGGCTCCCCACCCCCGCCCCCTGCCCGGGCACTATCAGAGTCTAGGAACTTGCATCCAAAACTTCCCTGAATGAGACCTTCCTGGCTGTAACACAGAAAATGCCAATTTACATGCTTTCTGGGAAGCATCTAGAGGAGGGGTGTCGAACGCGGTTGTGAGGGCCGGATCTGACATAAATGAGGCCTTGTTGGGCTGGGCCATGTGCGTCATAAAATGTAATGCCAGGTAGCGGAGATATACACTTTATAAAGGACACAGACACAAAGGGTTTTTTTAACTTAAAATAAAAACATGCTTAAAACATGAGCACTCTTGCAATATTTTGTTTATTTAAGTGTCTGATAACTGACACTTCTTGCTCTGAATTATTGCATCAAAATGGTCTGTGCTGTTGCAGTCTTGAGTATACTGTTCAGGTGTGTATCTGTAAGCTGCAAAGCTACGATGACGCAGCAGCAGGAGACAGCCAGTTCCACTGCGGGTCTGAGAGAAGCCCTCCGGGGGCCTCATCTGGCCCCCGGGCCACATGCTTGACACCCCGGCCCTAGAGAACTGCAATTGGGAACGCCTCAGGAAGGAATAAGTCAGGAAGACTTACAAGATGGCACCGACCAGCATGGCAGGCATCACTACCAAATGGCAATAAGGCTGCAGGGAAGACAGTCTCCCTACAGCCCATCTCATCCCCCCACCCCTACCTCAGTGGAAGGTTTGTGCCCATCCCAGCGGATACACTTCAGTCTCGCCCTGTCTTACCGCTGCCAGTGGGAGAAAGGGAGGCCTGCCCCCTCGCTTAGCCCTCCCGCCCCCCACATGCTTTCTCCACCTTAACTAGTGCAGCTGACATTCCTGAAGGACAGGAAACCACAGATCCCACTGATACAAAGTAGTCCAGGAGAAATAATTCTTCTTATGTTCCAAGTCAGGATAATTGTTGACTTAATCAAATGTATTTGTATGTGATGCGTAAGATTTTTTTTCGTGGCACGTTCATTGCCTTTTCAAGCTGTTTCGCTGGAAGTATCACTTAATCTCTTAAGCTTCTCCGATAACCAAAAATGAATGTTCATAAAGATACCAACATTGTTTTAAGCTTTCACCAAAGGGCTTTAGACTGAACATGGACATGGCTTTGGACATGGCTTTGGACTAAAGCAACAAGAATGTTTCCCATCTCATCTAGTTCCTTATTAAGTCCTGGATAAGATCCATCTGTATAACATTTGTATATTAAGAAGAAATATTTACACTCTGCTTCCCCAACTTTGGTTGTCCAAAGTGAATCACTTCAGAATAAAATAATATATATTACCAACGCTCCCTCTAAGCTGTGAAGTAAGCAAAAATCCTACTTTGTGCGCTCCTGGCATTAAAGTTGTGAGCGAGCGATTTGGCTGCTGCATAAATCAGTTTGCTCTGGAGGCGTCCTTCCTGAGCTGAGACAAAAACGTGTGAACCGGAGGCTAAAAAAACTGTGAGCTGGCTCACACTCACTCAGCTTAGAGGGAACATACACTAAAAAAAACACACCCAACCACCCTAGTACAGCGATTTGTAGGGCCCAACTCTGGCAATTGTGGGTCGTGTCAGACCCCCATGTGCCAGGCGATGCGGTACTGGGAGTGGGGAGACACTGGATTCCACCTGTTGGGAGCCTGGAGCCTGTCCCAGCTGCGGCAGCGGGGGAAGAATAAGAGACAGGGAACGGATCAGATTCCGAGGAGTTTGCTGTAAGGCTCGACTCCAGAGCTTCAAGAGAGGGAGCTGTGTTGGTCTGTAGCGGCAGAAAAGAGCAAGAGTCCAGGAGCACCTTAAAGGCTAACCAAATCTGTGGCAGCGTGTGAGCTTTTGCGAGTCACGGCTCACGTCAGAGAAAGCCCACGAAAGCTCCTTAATCCTGCCACACATACTCTCCGGTACGGCTCTAGCACTTCAGCATCAGTTTATCCTTGGAAATGGCACGAGGGTTTCCAGCTATCTGGAGGGGGGGAAATCCCCCGCCCCTTGAACCAGGGGATGTTGTTTGCCTCCCTGCCCTGAAAACCTTTGGCTGCTGATTTTTTCCACGCACAAAGCCTCCCTTAAAGGGGCAAGACTTCAGACAGTCCTAGGCAGCGGTTGAGAGCTTGTTTGTCTGTGCTGTTGGTATTGACCCGGTAGATAGCAGTCCCGAAGAGCGGGCAGCTCCCAGGTTGCCATGGCAATTAAAGATTGAGTCCTTGGGCTTAGGAAATGGCCTGCTGTCACCTGGGCTAGAATCGTGGCACCGATTAGTCCTTTGGAAGAGGGCTCTAAGCACAGGGTGGAAACGTGGCCGCTGGTAGGGTCCACTGTCCACTGAAACGCAGCAGTCAGGCACCTTAACCACCTGATACTCCTCCTCTCCTTTGTAGATCTCAACATGATGCTGACCAGCAAGAACTTACCTGTGTGGCTCAGCAATCTTGTTTAAATGACTTGCACACCACATTAGCATGCCATTCCAGTTGTGCTAAAGTGGTATGCAAAGTGGCAGAGACTGTGAACGAGCTGCTGGAAAAACACCACACCCGAAAAAGTCTGATGCTGAAGTGCGAGAGCCGTACCACCAACCCTCCTCCACACCTCCCTGTGTGTGTCATAATTGGTACAGACCTCTGCTAGAAGGGGGATGAGTGCGTGGGGGGTGGGGGCAGCACATGTGATTTGGTGACCTGTTTTCAGGCCCGGGACAATGTGGTGCCTGCCGTTCCCGTTTGAAGTGGGTCCCTTCTGCCCGTCTGACTTGGGTTTGTCTTGAACCCCCTTGGTGGTGTGGTGAGCAGCTGGACGGAGTGACACCATCTCTGTTTGGAGTTCAGATAGTTGGCTGCTTTCCATGCTCGTTCAGATGAAAAGCGCCATTGGCGTGGAAAGGGCTCAGAACTGCCAGGGCTCACCGTCGGTGCTCGCACAGGGCGGTTCCTGATCCCACGTTGATGCTGATGCTTCTCTTCCTCCTGCTAGAAACGGAGCATCGACCGTGGTCACCGCCATTTTCGGAGGCATTCTTCAGAATGAAGTCAACTGCTTAATCTGTGGGACGGAATCCAGAAAGTTCGACCCATTCCTAGGTATGGTTTATCTGTCCCTGTACAGCTAAGGTTTTGTGATGGGTATTTAGGTGTGTGGTGGGGCTTTGGGGGGTTCTGCCCCCTTGTAAATGCTTTTTTCCAATCATTTGGAAACATTTTTTTTAAAGACATGCGCTCCTTTTAGTAGAGTGGGGTGCTGTAGTAGACTAATTCCCGCACTGAGCAAGGGGGTTGGAGTAGGTGACCTCTAGGATCCCTTCGGACTAATTCCCGCACTGAGCAAGGGGGTTGGAGTAGGTGACCTCTAGGATCCCTTCGAACTCTGTGTCAAGAAACTGGTCTCCTTGAAGCGAGTTTTTCTGCCTAATCGTTAGCTTTCTTGACTGCAGAAGTCCTCACCCCCACCTGCCGACTTGTTCTCAGAACTGTTGCTTAGGCTGGCTGAAGTGATTAACGTGCAGCAGCTGAGAACTGTCATCTAAAGGGGTTGACGGCTTGTGGTTTAGAGAGCTGTCCTGGTAACAGCTTTCTCTTGGCTAAATGGCTTTTCTTTCTGCACCAGAAATTTTTTTTGCCCCACAAGCATCAAAATCCCAGCTATGGGCCTGCGGGTATTTTGTCAAAACGTGAATAAACTGTTCTCATATCTGACATTAATTTTGACTGTCTCTGTTTAGACCTCTCTTTAGATATTCCCAGTCAGTTCAGAAATAAACGTAACAAGAACCAAGAAAACGGACCAAGTTGCACGTTACGGGGTATGATATTTACCTGGAGCCTTTCTAATTGGTAGTCTGGTGTCTTCAGCAGTGGGGAAGTTAAAAGAAAAAGAAATGTGCAAAACGGGTTTAACCCTCCTCTCAACTGCACTCCCTTCTAGATTGTCTGCGCAGTTTTACGGACCTAGAAGAACTTGACGAGACAGAACTGTACATGTGCCACAAATGTAAGAAGAAGCAGAAGTCCACCAAGAAGTTCTGGATTCAGAAACTGCCAAAGGTGAGTGAGGGGCGGGTGGTGAAGGACGAGGGGTCTGGATTCTCACAGCAGCTTCCGTTGAGTGTCCTTGAAGAACGCTTCTCACTTCCCCAGTTGTGTGGACTTCTCCATTCTCTGCCTTCTGCGTTTGTTTTGCAAAAGTGTGAGCCCCAATCACTCCGGCGTCTTTGCTTTTGTCGTGGGGTTTGGCGTGTGGCATGTTGTCTCCTGGAGGGGCCCTGCCAGGGTCAGAAGGCAGGACATGCATTTACCAAAGGGACAGGGGTTACTTTCCTTGAATACCCGTTCTTTGACATCCAGGGAGGCAGCGGCAGACCCCCTTCTCCGCTCTGTGTGGCTCTACATCTTGTGTCCAAGGCGTCCATTAAGACATTTTCACCGAGTCATCGGGGTTCTGTGTTTCCTTGAACGCTGCAGGTGCTGTGCTTGCATTTGAAGCGCTTTCACTGGACGGCGTATCTGAGGAACAAAGTGGATACCTACGTTGAGTTTCCCCTGAGAGGCCTAGATATGAAATGTTACTTGCTGGAGGTACGTGGTTGAGAGGGCATGTGCGGGGGTGGGGGGGGGCCCTGGAAGGCGTGGGTGGGGTCCTCACCACCTTCCTTCTATGTCTCTCGCCCTCAGCCAGAAAACAGTGGCCCCGAAAACGGCCTGTATGATCTCGCAGCTGTCGTCGTTCACCACGGCTCAGGGTGAGTGTGCCAACAATCCCAACCAGAAATTCCACGTTGGGTCACTTCCGGATTTGCTCTGCTCTGGAGCCCATCGTCCCAATGCTGGAAACTTGACACACAGTGCCCCTTTAAATGCACAGTGGTGGGCATGCAGATGGCACCAGAAGGGAGCCCTTGACTACTGAAAGGATTTCTCATGAAACTTTGATTCCGTCAGATTTGAGGGAAGCGTAGCAAGATGTTGCCCCAGATGATCCATTTGTAACTAACTTATGAAGAATCTGAACTTCACGGTCAGAGTGGTCCAAAGGTGGAATCAGCCGCCTGGGGAGGTGGTGAGCTCCCCTTCACTGGCAGCTTTCAAGAAGAGGCTGGACTAGATGGTCTGTATGGCCCCTTCCAACTCTATGGTTCTGTGCATCTCAAAGTCATCTTCTAAATGGGGTCAGGAGAGGCAGCGCTGCATCCCTCCCCAAAGTACTTACGTAATCAGTGCTTTCTAAAAACTTAATAAAAAAAAATGGGAGGCAAGAACAGTTGCCTGAAATGAAGACTTCAGCATCTTATTCAAATCGAGTTTCTTTAATGAACGAAAGTCAGTCTGTATATTCACTGCGGGCTTGCCTGTGGCTCAGTGGTACAACAGCTGCTTGCCACACGAAAGGGCCCAGATGGCACTGCCAGTCCCAAAGGTTCTGCAGTGCAGGACTTTGCTCTGAGACCTCGAAGAGCCGCTGCCCATCTGTTTAGAGACTCATAGAATGTGAGAGTTGGAAGGGACCTTGCAGGTCATCTAGTCCAACCCCCCGCACTCTGCAGGAGCACAGCCGGAAGAGAGCCCTACAGTGTACCCGAAAGAGGGCCGTCCAGCCTCTGCTTGGAAACATCCAGCGAAGGAGCCTCCACCACCTCCCGAGGCAGACTGTCCCACTGCTCAAGCACGCTCACACTCACCAGGCTGTCCTTTGGAGTCCGGTGTTCGGAGGCAGTTTCCTGCCTTCTCAGTCTGTCCACTTCTGTTTTCAGAGTCGGCTCCGGCCACTACACAGCCTACGCGACTCACGAGGGGCGCTGGTTCCATTTCAACGACAGCACCGTGACGCTGACGGACGAGGAGACGGTGGTCAAAGCCAAAGCCTACATCCTCTTCTACGTGGACCGGCAGGCCAAGTCGGGATCCGACAAACTCTAATACCTCTCCCCGCCTCTTGCATATCGTGTCCAGCGGACAAAACATTTCCAGTCCTCCACGAATACTTGATCCGAGACTCTTGATTTCATTGTGCACTTTTCAGACTTTTTCTTGGGTTCTAGTTCTACTTCGTAAGTAGTCGCCGTTTGATTTGTTAAAACACGGACACAAGCTAACTTCCTTTTTTTTGGGTTAGTTACGCCATAGGGGGGAGGGGGGGCGGACCCTCAGCAGATAATGATTTGCTGCTTCAACTAAATTTTTATATATATATAGTTTCTACTTTAGTTGCTTTTGACTTTTTTATATCCATGTTTGTTTGCTTTCTAAAGGCACATTTACATCAGAGAAACTTGAATCCTTCGCGTCAACACCGTTAACGTGTATTTGATTATGAAAAGCCACAGAGTTGTTATTATGTAAGACTTCTGTCTCTCTCGCGAACGCTCGCTGCTTGGGGCCACGGGTCGCGTCCCAAGCCGGTTTTCCCGCGGGCACCTCCCCCCCCGGCTGCCTTTGTCAAAGGGATGGTAAAACTGCGGTCTTGACAAGCAGGCCAGCGACTGTGCTGCTACTTCGGCCTGTGGAGACAGTGTCCCCATCACAGCTCCTTGCACTCAAGCAAGCGGCTGAGTGGGTGAGAAGACGGACTGTCCCACAGGCCTGCTCTCCCCCCACTTTAAAGAGGGCAGGGAGGGATTGATTCTCGTTGTACCACAATCAAAAATGTGAGATCCCCGGTGGTGCTTCCCTCTAGGAAATTGGATCGAACTCTTCTCCTCCATTCCACGCCGCCGCTCTCTTGTCCTGCGGTCAGCAATCCCCGAGGGCTGTCAGCGGAGCAAGGGAATGTGTCCGGGCACAAGCGAAACTCATGGCTCAGGCCTTGGCTAGAATGTCTGCCGCAGGGGTAGCAAAGTTCTGATTACTTCACCTAGCTGTTGATGGTTTCCCGGTGCAAGCTGGATTTTGGGAAACGTACAATCCAGCCGAGTTATATGACTTACACATTTTATAAAGATTTGGCATTTCTAGTTCTGTCTTATTTGTGGGAGTATCGGGATGCCTTGTGCAAGAGGTGTTAGAAAGGCTGGCTTGCTGGGAAGGCATGTGCCCGGATCCTGGTGGTTTCTAAGATGCAGCTGCCGAGAGGATGCGGCCGTGGTTTTGGAAATAGCATCTTTTCAGCGCAGGGGGCGGCAACGAGCCCAAAGCCAGGGCCGTTTGCTATGTTTCTGTCCTAGCTGCTCTCACTGAATGTGATGGAGGTGGGCAGTCAGAGGAGAGTTGTTGATTTCCGTAGCTGCTTTCTCTTTCGTGTTCTCCTCCTTGGAGGAGTGTTAACTTCCTTGTGACTAGGAGTTTCTTTTTGGGGGATGTGGCCGTTGACCTCCAATGCACTTGTTCCTCCTGTTCCCAAGGCGGCACCCCCCCGGCGAGATGCACATGGACAGTCTAATCAGTGAGTTGTGGCAACACACGTATTCCTCTTCCTGGTGGAGATCTTTTGCTCGTCCACTGGATTTTACTCAGTGAGTTAATGTCAAAAAGTGACGGATTTGGACTAGCATTGGATCTGTGTCCGCCTTTGTGTACATATATAGCTTGTCTCTGAGGAGAAAGGGGGGGAGAGCGGACTCCCTCCATCCCAGCCAGTTCGGCCACTAGATGACATTGTGGGCATCGCAGGTAAGCAAGGTAGCTGCTTGCTGCACCAAGTGAGGGCTTGGCCTGCACTCACACCATTAAAGCTGGCTCCATCTTGTTTAGAAAGGGAGGGTGCCCTTCCCCACTGCTTCTGGTGCTGGTCGAGGGAGCCATTCAGCCGCTCTGGCCTTCAGGCATAGGGAGTCGCCTTTGAAAGGGTGTTAACGGAGCCAAGTCCTGCCAGTCTGAAGGAAAGACGAGCCGTTGGCAGCAAAGGGCAGACATGGCTGGGCCGGATGGGAGTGCTGGGACGAGCCCATCGCCTTGTTCTTCGTAGTCCTGGACATCTTGAAATCTCTACTTGCCCAGCGTGGTGGGTGTTTGCCGTTAAAATGTAGCATTTGAACCTCGGGGAGAGAGTCCAGAGCTCTTTGTCTTTCAGCCACAATTCAAGCTCTCAAAAGAATATTTCTCTGGAAGATTTGCCATTAAAAATCTTTCCCCCCCCCTCAGTGGTAGCTGTGCTAACTGTGCGTCTCAATGAGTTTTCCTAGGTAACTGGGTGCTAAAAGGGCCCTTGTTGGGCATTTCCTAGGAGTTTCCTTTTTGCTCCCTTGAAAGCCAGGGTGGGGGGTGGGCGGGCTGAAGAGCTTGGTTTTCACAGGCACGTCTCCTTTGTCTCTCTGACCTGGGCAGACCGATCTCATGAGATCTCGGAAGCTAAACTGGGTGCGCCTTGGCCAATATTTGGATGGGAGACCACCGAGGAAGTCTAGGGGGGCTATGCAGAGGCAGGCTGTGGCAAACCATCATCTCTTGCCTTGGAAACCCTACTACGGGGTCACTGCAGGTCACTTGATTGGGGGGGGGGAATCCTTGGTATCCCTACTGTCCCAAGGTAGAGGCCGTTCTTTAGCCACCCGGAAGAGTTTTTGCCTTCTCCAAGCAGCCGTAGGCCAGCGTGCGTACCAAGGGGATGGTGATCTGTCCACTTGACTAGCTCTGCCTCTGCATTAGGCCTTGAAGCGCTCTGGAGGTGTGTCTCTCGTCTCGTTTCACAAAGAGCTGGCAAGTTGCTTCCGCGGCTCTAGAAACCAACACTTCTGGCGGCAGGAGGAGAGTTAGCACAGAAGCCAGGAACTCGAAGAGGAGTACCTGCCTCAGGCTTCCTCCTCTAGCCGGCCCAGAGAGAAGGTGCTGCCGGTGATGCCTGCGGTGCCCCCTGCTCAGCGTTCGGGCTCTGGCCTGCTGCGGAATGGCTCTCCCTGCCCCCGGCAGGCACCCACCCACCCACCGCCTGCCCCAGCTGCAGAGTGGCTGCTAGCAGCACAGCAAGGGCTTCGCTCCGGTGTCCGTTCCTTTGGAGGTGCTCCAGACAACCACCGGCCATCTAAACGACACGCCTGGCCTCTGAGGAAGAGCGAGATCCTTTTAAGGCAACAGCTGAGCCAACGGAGCCCATCGTGTTGCTGCTGGAGCCGTTCCCGGGGGGGAGACACTCCGGCTGCAGCCCCCGCCCCCCTCGATCCTTGCTCTCTCCTCACCAGCTGCTGGGCCCAAAATAAACCTCCCCTCCACAACCATATTTGTGCAAGAGACCCAGGAGTGCCTTGGAAGCGGGTCTGTGGCCGGCAGGAGCGGGCTCCCTTCCCGCTCGCACTCGGGGAGAGGGATGCACATCACGCAGCTGAACGGGGAGTGCCTGCTCCACCTCTTCTCTTTCCTGGACAAGGACAGCCGGAGACACTTGGGCCGGACATGCCGCCGCTTGCTGGCGGTCTTCCGGGAGCCCTCGCTGTGGCCTCTGCTCCAGTTCCACTCTCCCTCGGAACTCACCAAGGGGAACTTCGTGCTGGGGCCGGCCCTGCGCCACCTCTCCATCTGCTGGCACTCCAGTCGCGTCAAAGTCTGCAACGTCGAGGACTGGCTGAAGAGCGCCTTCCAGAGGGACGTCTGCAGCACCCACGAACACACCGTCAACAACTTTTTGCTCCAGGTTTGCCAGAGGTAAGCCCCCCCCCCCAACTCTGAAACGTTTCAGCCAATAGGGATCTCTCATGCAGGATTCACCACACAAACACCCTCCCGAGGGCAGGCTCCAGGATTTACGTACTGGTGAATGCCCAAGTGGGGCCCGCTGATTCCTGCTACAAACATTACAGAAACCCTTCTGGGACCTCTCACTGGGATTTCCCAAAAGGCTCCTGCTGCTACTTGCACAGGGATAAGCATTTTGCCACATAACCATCTGGATTTCCCCAATCCTCCGCTCTCACTGCTTTCCCATGCCGAGATTTCTACACCTTGAAGAAGCAGGATTAGGTTCTTGCTCTTGTATCCCAGCCCTCCAGAGTGGCTCTTCCACCACCCTCCCCTGTATCGTGCACTCAGTCCTGCCCCGGGCATTCCAAGCATTTTTCCAAAGCGCTGTCCAGCCCAGCAGCTGCAGCCAAAGAAGTTTTTGCCACTCTCTCCCTTGCCTGGGAGCATTAACCATTGCGTTGATCTGCTAAAGTAAGATTTAGAAGTGCCAGAGGAGAGACCAGCAAGATACTTTCTAGAACAATTTTTTTTTCCAGAGCCGAGGCTCCCTCTAAGCTGTGGAGTCTTATGAGCAAAAATCCTACTTGGTGAGCTGCTGGCGTTAAAGTTGTGGGCGAGCAATTTGGCTGCTGCATGAATTGGTCTGCTCTGGAGCCCTCCTTCTTGAGCGGAGACAAAAAGGTGTGAGCTGGAGGCTAAAAAAACTGCAAGCTAGTTCACACCAACTCAGCACAGGGGGAACACTGTTCAGAGTGTACCTGTGTTGGTCTGCAGTAGAATAGGTAGAGCAGAGTCCAGGATTTTGGGGGAAGGGGGGGGATATAAGCTTCCAGGAATCACAGGCGCTTTGTCTCTCGTAAGCTTTAAAACCCCCCCCAAAAAAATCTCGTCCATCTCTAAGGTGTTGTCCCTAAAGTCACTCTCCCATAAGCCCCCCAGCAATTAGCAAACTGAGACTGGCTTCTCAGGGCAGGCATCAGCTAGCCCCGATGCCACAGGCCAGTTGAGAGGAGCAACACAAGCCGTCTACCGCCATGCGCAGGACAGGGATGCCCACTGTATCGTGATCTCTGAGCTGGAGAGCCCAAGCAAGCTTGACCTTGCCGGATCTCAGAACCTAAGCAGGGTCAGCTCCAAGGCTCCCTCTGAGCTGCGGAGCCAGCCTCGTGAGCAAAAGTCCTACTTGGTGAGCCGCTGGCGTTAAAGTGGCGAGCGAGCGGTTTGGCTGCTGCATCCATTAGCCTGCTCTGGAGCCACATCCTCCCTGAGCGAAGACAAAAATGGGTGAGCCGGAGGCTAAAAAGCTGGGGACTAGCTCACACTCACTCAGCTGGGAAGGAACACTGGTCCGCTCTTGTTTGAATGGGAGGACACCCAAGAAGTCCGGGAGTCGCAACTCGCAAAGCACCTCTGACCGCCTCTGGCCTTGGAAACCCCACGAGGTCGCCAGACATCGGCTGCAACCTGACCGGCATTTCCCACCACCACCACCACAGTAACCCCTACCTGCGTCCCTAAATACAAATACACACACTTCAATCCTGTCTAATTCTACAGACCGCACTGATGACCCCTCACCACAGCTCATTCTCTCACTTAACAACAGACAGGGGCCTCGGTGCTTCCATCTCGTTTGGCATGTCCTACTTCGGGCGCCTGGGTTGAGGGGGAGAGTTCCGATATCCCGAGCTGAGAAGGCTAATCATCCCTCTTCAGCCCCTCCCCTCATTCGTGCAAACCGCCCAAGCAGGCTGGGGGAGGTTACGGCAGAGAGGCTGAGGAAGAAGCGGCCTTGGGTGGGGTCAGTGCCGTGTGCCCTGAGCTGGCCAGGAAGCCCCTGGTGGGCCAAGAGTGCTCTGCCCCCGTGCAGTTTGGAAGTCCTGTAGACGGTCCTCCTCCTCCCCCTCCTCCCTTAACCTGCAGTGTTCATGCCTTTTCAGGTGCCCAAATCTCCTAGCCCTGAGCCTTTCGGGCTGTGGCCATGTCACGGATGAAGCGGTGGCGTTGCTGCTCCAGAGCTGCTCCTTCCTCAAGACCCTCCAACTGGAAAACTGCGTCCGGATCAGCGACCGGACTCTGGAAGCCGCGGCCCTCTACGCTGGCTCTTTGCAAACACTGCGGGTGGACTTCTGCAGGAACATCACCCAGGCTGGCTTGCAGAGATTCCGGGAAAAGCGTCCCGCGGTAACCCTGAAAGCGGAGAGGAGCGCGGACATGATCCCAGACCAAAAACCGGGCAACAACTGGATGTCTGACAGAGCAGCAAAGAAACTGCTCTGGTACTAGGAGTGTCCTGTTACGGGTGGGCTTGCGTTCAGGGGTCGTGACCACGTAAGCATCTGTATGGAAACACTCGGGCACAACCACTAGGAAATCCCCCTGCGTGAACCCACTGTCAGTGTGAGGACGTCAGCCCGTCTCTAGAGGGCCTTGGGTTTCCGTTGCCTCGAAGTGGTAGAAGGCTAGAGGGATGCCACTCTCTCTCCGTTTCCTTTTCACAAAACAAGGAGCTCAGTAACCTGTTTGCACAATGGCTTCTGAAAGAGATCTCCCTGGGAATTCTGGACCAGCACAACCGACAGGTGACGAGCCAGCAGACGATAAAACCATGTACATTATTCCCACTTAACGCAAACATCTCAACTTGTGATCATCTCTGAAAAACCCCAAGCACTGGGGAAAGAACGCGCACCTCTCATCTCCCAAAAGCTTTGTATGTACCATACCTGTTGATTTCTACTGAAATAAATTATTTGGTGAAAATAAAACCTGCACCTCAATGCCCATTATCCAGCAGATCTCTCTCTCTCTCTCTCCCTCTCGTCTTCCCTACGCAGCCCCCACCCCCTTCCCTGAGACTTTCCCCAACCTTCCAGTACTGAACAACAAACTATCCAAAATCACTACAGGATGAAATTGCATCCACACAATTCTGTCTCTGTCCTTGCAGCCACGGAGTTCACCACACAGCAAAAAAAGGACTAAATTTTCTGATTCACAAGCAGAAGCAACAGGCGGTCTGCGTCGGCAGAGACGGCCTGGCATCCTGCATTCTGTCTCTCTGTAGGATCCGATAAGGCTAGAACAGCAGGTAAGGTCCGGCTTCTGCCTTGGCACTCCACAGGGTGGCCATGCGTACATCCATCTTTCAGCGCCCCCAGCTCAGCCAGCTGATGTTGAAAAGACAACCGGGAAATCCCCCCCCCCCAAAAAAAAAGAGTCAGAAACAAACAAGGGGGATTTTAAAAAGGAGGACAAGCAGAAGGCCAAAATGGCAAAAAGCCCGTTCTGGGTCCGCTCCGCTCCAAAGGCTGAGCGGGAGACCCGTCGGAACCCACGTTCAGACAGCCAGAACAACCCCGCCCGTCATTCAGTTCTTCGATTTGCTTTTTATTTTTCTCTGCATAAGGAACCCTGCACAGGCATTTCAAATTAAAACAAAAATAAATATATGAATATTCATGTAAAACTGTCCTTTCTAATGAACAATTATACACAATGTACAACTCTTTGTGTTCACGTGGGAGGCTCGGCGGACGCGCCCATCCCAACAGAAAACGCACCAGAAAGGCTCCATGCAAGCTTATCAAAAAGAGAACCGGAAAAACATGGGGGG